CAAGACAGGACTTCTTCAGGATCTGACAGTTATGGTTATTGGTGTTTCTCATGGCCCATCCGCTCAGGTGTCTTTGTGCGTTCTTATCTTCACTGCTGTAGATATAACGTACATATCCATCCGTCCACTCCTGGAACGCATCATACTGCTTCGTGTCCTGGAAAAAGTATGTTTTCATTATTATTACCATATTCAGATGTTTATTTTGCGAGAGGACATCTAATCATTATGCAATTAAAAAATTTGGACAGACATATAGAAACTATAAAATGCTTTTTGTGTAGCATACTTTGTACAAATTAAACACTGAAACAAGAATGAATAGTAGCTATACCAAAAGAAAAGGAAATATTATGTTCCGTTTTGCCTACAAATGCGTAAAAATATTAAATATTTACCTGTGGAAGCTTGGGGTCGTTTATATCCCAAGTCAGCTTCATCCCGAATGAACACACGCAATCTGAGCTGTCAAACTGATCTGAGGATTTGGACATGATGCGAGTCAACTCCGGATCATAGCAACCATAAGAATTAAAAATCAGCTTGAAGACAAAATTCTGCTCGGAGTCTAGATAATTAAAAAATATATATCGTACATCTCTAAGTCACGTCTTTTAGATTTTTACTTCCAGAAAGCGTCTTTATTTTCTCTTGTAAAAATCCAGTCCGTCCAGGTGCGCTTCACACAGGTAATGGTCTCAGGTAAATGCTGCTGTGTATATGTAAAGAAGGAGGCTGGACTTACACACACACACACGCACGCACGCACGCACTACCTCAAACACTGAGTTCTTTCACTTTAAATGATCCTTGCGTTTCTCAATAACGAAAGCTCGATATTTGACTAGGTACAGGGTGGAAGTGGCACAGTTTGTGTTAAATCAATTTTCCTTACACATTCCAGATTTTATCTTTGCGTTAACAGTTTTAAGGGGAAAATTACAGCCTCTTTTAAAAGTGAACCCGACGGTGTGGTATTTCACGAGTAGTCAGCGAAAGTAATGCGAGCGACTTTCAATGGGACTGAGCCGAGGCTGATGGTCACAGAACAGGACTGGTCCAGTTGGTAAGGTAATGCGATCTACTGCAGGTCATTAGTTGTTGTGTGTAAACGAAAAGCCGCACTGCTGACACAACACGGACCGGTCGTTAACACAACAAACACAACGCAGCTCATAAACACGCACCTTTTATGTATCTATATGCGATCACCGATGATGATTGATTGAAAATTACAAATGCAAGTGATTTTCAGGTGATGCATCCACCCTGGACACGAAGTTTAAATGAATGGCGTTGTTTTAGTTTTTTTCTGTTTGTAACATAAGGGTTCAAATAATAATAATAATAATATTAATAATAATAACAGACTGCAATACCCTTGTAATGAGGTCATCTATTATCTATCAACTGGAGTCTCAAAGTAATCTAATTTCAAATATTACAAAATTCATCATTAAACAAATTTAACTGGTATATTGAAAAACAAGCGAGTCTCCTGCTAAAATACATACAGTGTCTGACGTCTGAAAAATGACAGTCTATCTATACAAGAATTCAAGATACCATATACAAAATGATAGGCGTACTGTAAGCTACATTCATGTGTTTTTAATTTAGTTAAATGTACCTTTTGGGCTGCACGGTGCAAATGTAAGCTAACAGTGTTTTTTTTTTATTTTTTATCCATTGTGGTTGTTCAGTCTAAAAATATATTTACAGTGCAAGTATAAATGCATATATATATTTTTTTAGTTGGAATCTTCTTTTTGCAGAAAATGTCCTAATTTTTCACAAACAATAATGCGTTTTTCTTAAGACGATAATGATACTCATTCATACATACATATGAAGGCAAGCTGTTTTATTTTATAAATTTGCCGTAATATTAACGAGACACTTATCACTCAAGTACGAGTACCGGTTACGCATTCGTGGTTGCAATTATTATTATTATTATTGTTGTTGTTGTTGTCGTCGTCATTATTATTATCGTCATCATTATTATTATTATTATTATTATTAGGCCTATTATTTCATTTTATAAAACTATTGCAGCCTATCGTTTGTTCATTCTTTTCTTTGTATTATTGCCCTGTTCCTTTGGATTTGCATTACTATTTTGTATATATATATATTACAAAGTAGCAGTACAGTTGGCAAATGTAAAACTTTGTAGATGTAATTTGCGCATCCGCACACACAAATTCAGAAAGGATTATTTTAGTCTCACTTGATTTTATTTTTACTTGTTACTTTACCACCATTAACGTCTGATTTCATGAAGGTGTCTGAAATTGTGGTGCGCAATGTTCCTGTATTTTCAATAAACGCAACAATGAAAGTGTATACATCTACCTAAAAATTTTACTTCATAGAATCGTCTGAAGCATTTCAGGAATAGACTGTAATTTCATAGCACATCATATTAGTCAATTACCGGGCACAGACGCCTGTAACCATGAAAGCAAACGTTGCATGCATGTATAAATGAATGGATAAATGCATACATGCATACATACATACATACACACAGACACACACACAGACACACACACACACACACACACACACATTTATATGTGTTTTATATGTAGAGAAATAGTATTTTTCACTGGTATTTTATCTCGATGCCAAGTCGGCGTTTTAGGCTACATCTACAAGTCCATGCACAGCGCAAATGACGTGAATTTACGTAGGCCTTCTAATTCTGATATAATTCTGATATAGGCTAAACCTCTAAATTGATGGTCAGTATGACAATTTATAATCTGCTCGCTTTTTAAATGTTGAATTGGTTTGAGATTTCGTTAGAGCATCTCAAAGAACAGCACAAACCACCCAAGGACGCCATGAATCTCACTGAAGTTTTCTACGAGGTTGCCATGGTAATACATTTTTCTGTAATACATTTTCGCTACAGAGAACTTTTGATCAATCTGATTTTTTTTTTGCTGCGGTTTGGGGCTGTTGTTTTGGATTATGAAGTACCTTTCTGTCTGCGTCTAGAGGTAATTGTCATGAAGCTGTTAAAAATGCAAAAAAACAAAACAAAACCAAAGGTATATATATATATATATACATAAACTCTGCCAGTAAGATGACCATGTCGGGCTCTTGTAAGCTATCATTCAGCATACATTAATTGCCATTACAGAGTACGGTGGTTACACTACACTTCAAATGAGCGACGCTCCCATCCCCATTGCAAGCAAGGCTGCGCTCTAGTGGACAACAGATTTCTGTACAACACAAGCAGACCGAGTTTACATTAGGAAAAGAGCGAATTTCGTGGCAAACACTTTTGCGTTGTCATTTCTTACAGAGAGGACTTGGCAAAAGCGTTGACAGACAGTCTTTTTGTAATGAATAATCTAGGGACTTTGTGTATGATACAATGTTCATTTAGTAATATTTGATGCTGTCACCAGATTATGAAATGCAGGTGGCCATTACTGAAGCACTCTGTAGGATGACACCAAGGAAACCAAGAGAAGACTTTGCTGGTTCCATTTCAGAAGCTTTGCTTCAGCTTTTACTTCAATTCGTGACAAATATTTTGAAACTATGTTTAGGCATTTATTTTTCACTGCTCAAAGTACTAGAATCGCCAAGCATGTTTTGGTTTTAAACCATATTTTTCAGGTATTGGAGTTCTTCTATTGTTCTTTTTTTTAAAGGACTGTAGGACATTTCTGAATGAACTCAACTGTTATTTTGGCAACTCAAGAAGGTATATTTGAGTTTTGTTTATTTTTTTACAATGCAGGCTTTATCCTGTCAGTGTTGTCCGTAAAGTTTTGACATGTTTGCATGATCTTGTCCCTCTGTCCTAGAGTCTTCTCTTTCCCTTGTATTCAGACATTTCTTGATTCACCTGAGGTAAGCATGAAACATTTTTCTACAAGGTGTTCTTTTTCCCAAATAAGCTACTTGTACACTGCGATTTCTCCCACCAACCAGTGTTTGATTCTTTTTAGCTGTTCAAGCCTGAAGATGAGTTTCTAAATGAGTTTTGGGTGGATTCAGCATTGGAACATCAACCATTAGTTTCTTTGTAAATAACCCAAAGGTGTGTCCAAAATATGTTTTAATGTACAAAAAAAAGTTTTTTTTCTTTTTTTTTCAATCAGTAGTGTAACTAAACTTAGCTTCCATTTATGGTAGAACACACTGTGGGAGTTGATTCTCCTGCCTAAAGATGTTGTCAACATGTATGATCTTCAAGGTGGGATTAATCACAAATGGCAATGACCGCTAGCATTTCTTCAGTTCATAAAATGTTTATCATGGCTTTCGTTATTAGTATTAAAACTAAGTACAAACCTGAAGTAGATTAAATGTGATTTGGAATTGCTTTTAAATCTCACAGTTCATTAATCTTATTTCTTCAAATGTCTATTTTATCTTATTGCTTTAGAGCGTGATGATCGGAAGATATTGGAAGTTCACAGGAGTACCCCACTCTCCCATGGAGAGATCACTGGCAAAATTGTCAAAATCATCTTTAGTGCAGAGCACAACATCCAAACAGCCATGACAAAAGTGTTTCCACCACAGTCTTCCTCAGTTTCAAAGGTGTGGCATGTATTGTTTCCCAGTTTTTAAAGAAGCATGGTCATGTTTAAATATATCACATACATACCAGTGGTTATAAATTACATGTCCTTTTTTATTACTAAGCTCTGTAATTAGGGGATTGCTTCACCAAGATAGAAGGCACACACCTTACACTCTCTAACAGATATGCTTTGTTGAAGTTCATTTATAGTACATTGTTCCTTATTTATAAATATGAAATATCGTCTTATACAGGAAACCAGCATGAACAAACATCCGTGCCACAGACTTTTACCAGGCATGTTTGCCTAACTGTGTAAAATTTCTGTAAATCCCAGTGTTTACATTGAGAGAGCAGCAGGCATCTTGATTTCTGCATTTCATTTGATAAGACAGATTAGTATCTGATTCTCTCATGGAAATGTTTTTCTTTTCTTTTCTTTTGTAGTCCATCTGCTGCAGAGACCAAAGTCATCCATCAGGTAAATATAATCCAGATAGCAAATTAAAGAGGTTGTATGGGCACCCAGTTTCACCAACTTCCAGTCATTTTTCAGCGTTCCCCTTTGAGTGGACCAAGCAGATATTCAAGATCAAAGTAAGGCTATTAATTGCTGTACATGTACTCTGATAGAAAAAACAAAGTGGTTTTATGCTTTCCTTTCTTTGGTGAGTGAAGAGTCAAAGGAACTCAAGGCCAAAACATCTTTCAATTTAAGGATAATTCAGATTCTGAGGAATGCTGTGTGTGTGTGTGTGTGTGTGTGTGTGTGTGTGTGTGTGTGTGAAAATGCAGAATGTTTTGTGTCAGGCTAAGGGGGTAGGAAAAGTGCTCTTTTTTCTGGGGAGGTTTTTTTTTTTTTAATAAATGAATATATGTATATATGCGTGCGTGTTTCTGTTTGTGCACAGCTTTCCCTGTCAAACAAATAAAAAAATCAAAATATTAGGTCGGGTCGGGAAATGTTGAGACTTTCTCACCTCCGCGTCTCCACGTAGCACAACAGTGTGTAGCACACATGATCGGCACATGCACATCAGCTACGTTTACATGCACAATTTTTGGTTCAATCAGACTGAATTCATTCTGATTTATGAATCTGAATGTAGTGTTTATATGAACGCTAAAGAAAGTGATCGGGTTGATGTGCGTGTTTATATGTCACAAGCTTCAAATCGGAAGTGATTTTTTTTTTGACATGTGCACACTGCACAAATATAGAGTTTCTCACTGTTTGCACATAACCACTCTCCTACACGGTTTATTTGATTGTTTATTACCAGCAGAATTAATATTTATTAATTTATGGATAAATAGGCTATACATATAAACCGCTGTGCCGTGCTGCTCATATTTATCATACAGTAAAAATGCCCCTCCCCGTGCCCAAAACCAGTTTTGCCAATTTGGAGATTTTGTCGCCAAATTTAGCTACTTTTTTAAAACTTTTTTTTAAAAGCTGCGACTTTTTTTTATTTTTTGCGACAAGGAGCTATTTTAGCTATATTTAAATAAAACTAGCTATTTTTTGGAGATTTTTAAATTTTTTACTTGGCCACACCCTGCCGTAGGCCCGTGACCTCTCACGTTTGCTCTTAATCATGCCAACAGGTGCATTCGACTTCATGCAGCACTGCGCAGACCGATCGGCGGCTGACTTGAAGCAGTGCATGCCGGTTAGAAATTTGTCATGTCAACCAGATACTGAGAGAGAGAGACAGTGCGTCATCGTGTCATGTGTGCTGGGATGCAGTATTTTGCACTTACTTTGTAGTAATAGAGTGTATTGACTGAAATAAGTTTGTATGAATAAAGTTTTTGTTTTTGGAGAATCATAATATCTCTTATCTGTTGTATTTGAGCAGGACAGGGATGCACTTTGGTGACACATAAAACAAATTCCCAACATTATGTGTCTTTTGTGTCTTTCCATCATGTTTGATGTGCTTGCAGATCACAAGCATTTCCTAATTTCACTTCAGAATTTTTTGTTATACCTAATCTTTT